AGCTGGAGGCTACACTACACTAAGGCCACACAGCAAAGGGCTACAAAGGCCTCATTCACACTACATTTTGAACTAGTTTAGAAAGCGGTTTATAAGGGGGTGGTTCACATGTGCTCCAGTTTTCTCTAACCTGAACTTCAGGGGGGGAGGGGAATCCCCCTTAATCCAGTTCTTTTGAAACTGAGGTGTTTACTGGGTCTTTTCTAAAGAACAGGCTTATTTTAGGGAGCCACCAATGGGAATGCACTGCTGATCCCATTTGGGGCACACAGGAGGGAGGGGCAATGAGCAGAGGGTGGTCAGAGGGAAAGAACATACCCATCCCACAGGGCTTGGCAAACTATCATTGTTTTCCCCCTGTCAGTTCTGTGGGCGAAGATACCATCTCTTTAAATTCAAATTTCCCAGCTCTGTCAAGTGATCCCTTTAAATCACCATGCAGCTGTTTTCTGCTTCTGCAGGCGAATTGGTTCCCTCTTCCCTCTTGGCCAGGGGTAGTCAGGGTGTACCATAATTCCTTTGGTTCTCAGTCTATTATGCTCAGTAGTGTGAATGGGAAATCAAAGGAAAATTCAAACCAAGGACTGGGATGATCTATGACAGGGGTAGGCAACCTTTTTGAGCTGGGGGCCGGTCCCCCAAAGTCGTCCCTTCCAGCAGCATGCGGCAGCGGGGGTTGCACACGCACACATGAGTGCGCGCGCTGCCATTCTCCCCCTCAGTCTGCCGGAAGGGACGACTTTGGGGGACCGGCCCCAGCTCAAAAAGGTTGCCTACCCCTGTCATAGATCATCCCAGTCCTTGGTTTGAATTTTTCTTTGATTTCACAGATCTTGTGAAGCAGATCTCTTGTTCTTCTCTTTTTGTTGTTGTCTTCTATTGCTCTGCATTGGTCATTGTAGTAATTTTTTTTATGTTTCCACACAGGCTATTGTACTGTTGCATTCATATTTCTTAGTTTGTTCCTTTCTCCCTTTTGATTTTTTCTCTTCTTTTCTTTATTGCTTATAGTGGTTTTTTGTGTCATCCATGTCTCTCTCTCTTTCTGTTTGTTTATTGAAAGCGTCTGTCTGCATTCTTCTTTCTCATGCTCTTGGCTAATCTTGCTAATGGGATATCCCTTTATTTCTCCCTCCTTCCCTTTCTGTTAATAATAATAATAATAATAATA